TAACACACTCAAAAACATACCTCGCCGTGTTGTATTTGTTGTATTTCAATTTTGTATGGGAAACAACAACAGTGTCGATATGACAGTCATAAAAAAATAAGACAATATGACGATATGACACAATATGACACCTTGTGAATACCCTAAATATAAAAAAACTCAGATCTTGCCGAAAGAGAAAAAGTTAAGCAATCTGTATTGATTTGACTTTGAGCAACGTGTCGTGAAAAATCTTCGGCAAGGTCTTTTCGGGTTGGTACTGGGCATGAATTAAAAGTGCTTTCTCCAAACCAAAATGAATGTGTTCACCCGCTGCCATTGGAGTTACTTCAATACATCTTTGTTGCTTTCCTCCGGGCCCGGAGTTTTCGAAGGGGCCCGTATTTTCCAAAAAATTAAGTTAAAAATTAGAAAACTTTTGATTGGTGATTCATTCGATTTGCCGTTGACAGGGCTGCGATAATGGTATAATATGAGCGGTATATATGAAGGAGCGCAAAATCACTTCCAACGTAAAAATAAGTATACAGTTCTTTCCCGTTGTAGTGTCCACACGCTGAATTTGGTTGAAGTCGACTCGGCTGAGTGATGTGTTCGAGCAATAAATTTTTTTCGTGTCGTTCAAAAATATTTCAACATTTTAAGTAGCAGTACACAACGTTGAGAAATTCTGAAATCCAAAATACCCAATTCACGCTTTGAAAGAAGTTAAAAATTCAACCTTACCGCAGAAACTCGTTGAGAAGTTGATGGAATTTTGAAATACTTATATGAGCAAAGTTGAGTGCTTTTTGGTGGCCTTCATATGGTTTAAAATCCTTCAGTCAATCAATGAAGGAAACTTGGTTCTTCAAGAGATCAATGCCACCATCGATGCTGATGTAAGAGATATGGAAAGCCTTCTTGAGAATTTGTAATATCTGCGCGACCAGTGGAAAGCAATAATAATGAATGCGAAATTTAGAGCATATCGAAGACGGAAACGACCTACATGAAGAAGTGGATGTAATCTGCAGTAAAGAAGAAATTGAATTTAAAAGAAATCTTTCTCATTTCTATGGCAGTTCTATGAGATAAAAGCAGATGAACTCAACGCAGCTGCAAAAAAATTTGCCAAAAAAGTATACCGTTGATGTATCTGATAAGGTGTCCAATAAAGCTATCCTCTCAGACACATTTACGATGCAAACTCCATATAACTTATTGAATGCCATCAATGCTCGAAAATTAGGAAGGCTTTTCTTATTTTGGACTCCACCCGTTTCCTTTTCAAGTGGTGAACATCCGCTTAGTGCTTTAGCAAGGATCAAAAATTTTCATCGATCCTACTCGTCACAAGGAAGGATTTGAGGACTAGCTTCGCTGCGTCTTGAGGCAGAATTAGCCAAGTAGTTGGATTTCCAGGCTATTATCGACGCATTTGCTGCCGCCAAAACTCGAAAAGCTTCTCACTTTTAAGTTACAAATAATTGAAGATTGGAAGATTTTTACCTGTATGTTTAAAAACTTAATCACGATAGTCAACAGGTTTGAAAAGAATAAACAGATTTCAAGAGAAAAAAATATTTTTGGCCGAGAATCTATGTATGAACTGATTTATACATTATTGATTTTCAAAATCATACAAAACAAATTTGTTCCACCCAACACCAACAAGATAGCCAATTTAATACAGATGTGATAAGAGCATAAAACACTACGTCGTATGTGACTTCTTCTTCAAAAACATTGAAGCAGTCAGTGGGTAGATAGTTAATAAAATTTATAAAGTATTAAAAACATTCCTTTAGGGAGGGGGCCCTACTTTTTACCCCTGGGCCCGGTTTTTCTCTCGGCGGCCCTGTATATATTCGTGATATTTGATTCATTTTCACGCTTTGATATCAAAATTCAGACCAATTTAATGTGATAAAATACGTGTTTATTGAAAATAAAAGAATTTCACAACAATTAACAGTTATGATTAGCCGTTATGGTTTATCTTTTATTGCTGCATTTTGGAGTAATAATTACTCGGTAGAAGTATGCGTTGTGTTTACAACGTTCATATATTATTAGATTGTTTATTCCTCCAGAATGTATCAATAAGCGAGGAAACAAATAATGTTTGTAAAAACTAGCAAAAATGTTGTTACTCCTTATATTTTGATATTAATCCATATATTTTTTACTGGGGTATGGCAATGCTATGCTATGTATGTATAACTGGGCCTTTAGCATTGATATCAAAAAAGAGTATAGTCGGTCTGTTGCTTTGATCAGTAAATTTCTATATTGCTAAAATTTCTATTTAAAATTTTTCGAGACATTTCTTATATTCGTTTATTTCTTGGCTTGTTTTTTTTTATCTTTTTCGTAACTTTTTTTATTAAGTAAAGAAGTGCTAATTTCAATTGCAGCCGCACATTGAATACTCATTCACCTTTTATGAAACAAAAGTGTGCAAATAACGAATATTACATATGAATTCAATAAAAGCAGAAAGACGGAGGTCAAGTTTAGTGTACTGCATAGACCGATTAAACTTATTTTTGACCACAAATTACAGCCCGAGATTTGAGTTAAATTAGTTTGTTACAACATTTTACATTCTGGCCGATATACTTGTACATATGCTATATACCGTATCAAGTAAACCAACATAACAAGTATATAGGACCTAGGGAATGTACTGAACCTATTTCATTAATTTTAATCGCCAGACTATGTCATTGTCAACAAAATATGCTGACCCAATTTCCTTAAGATGCCTCATAAATTGATCGACTTATGCCCAGTTTTCTTCAAATATCTTCACTCTACTGAAAAGGGCAATAATGGGAATGAATGTAAAAATCATTATCCCATTTTAAAACTGTTACGTAAGGAATAAAGGAATGCTATGGATCGAATTGGTTCTGTATTTGCTAAGAAATGCGATTTCACCAATGATTCACATCTGCTTATAATCCTCATTGTTGAATTTAATGTTACTGACATTCTTTGTTGGACAATGCACTAATATAATCGTAGCATATTTTGTACAGTGCATATTTCTGACTTTAATGCATTATAACCAAGGGACTATATGAAATATAAAAATTAGACTAGTACCATAAAAAAGATAAAAAAGTCTAGTTTAATAAAAATTCTACATTTATCTTTAAATTAATGTTTACATAACTTAAATATTCGAAAACCAAAACGCGCTGCATGTATTCTACTCACAACTTATGTTATGAAGAAACTACTTTGCCTAACGGTACATTAACGTTTTTAACAGTATTTTAAAAAAGTTTAACAGTATTTTCTTCTTCTATGCCTTTTTTTTTGTTTCTGAAATAGAATCAGCTACATTTTGATGCTTGAATTGTCTATTGCTGTGATTATTAAAATGGTTCTGCGAATGAAGGTGGTACAACCAGAATTGGTTATTCGATATTTCAAAAATGGCCATTCAAAGCGAAAAAATGCTGAAATGGTGAAAACCTGCAAGGTACAAAAAAGTATCGAACGCTTTATTCATGAAAATTGTGTACTCAAGAAAGATAGAGAAGCATCGAACGAGATATTCAGTGACACTGATGAGTGATATATGGTATGCAAGATAAAGGCTGATTCGAGACTCTCCGCACCGAAAGTGGCTTCTGAAATTCTAACTGACCTTAGAAACAAGACTTTCATGGTCGAGTTTCCTCGAAAAAAGCCTTAAAAGTAGGTAAAGCAGACTCAGCTTCGCCAAAGAACATATTTCTAAGACCACAAAGTACTGGAATTCGGTTATATTTTCAGACGAAGTGAAATTTAATACTTTCGGTACGGATAGTTTATGATTATGATATCTTAGCAAAATTGACTGAACGTATAATATTGGATATATTGTACTATAGTTTAATGCCGAAAATATGTGAAATTCGTCCACCAATTACCAAAACTCCCATATACTATATATATATATACAGTTGGCCTTAGACCTTTCTTACTTGTCAAGACGAAATTTTGCCAACACCCGAAAGTACTTCCCCGTCTTTGATCCTTGTAAATTGCGAGAGAATAAAATGTTCTGTTACATCTGACCTTAGCGCTTTCTTAATAGGCACAAAATAAATTATATTCCATTTGTCATGTGGGCTATGCTTCTTGTGGGGATGGGGGAAAAAGTTTAATACCAGGGCTGCAAATAATAAATTAAAAAATAATTGTATTAACATTTAATTTATTTCGTAATTCCAATTTTTTTTATGCCGAATTGAAAAAAAAAGTTAATCTCAAGTACGGAATTAACAAATAAAAAAAATGTTGAACCCAATAACCGGATTAAAAATTAATTTTAATGTATAATCTTAAATACCCGAATGAAAAAAAAACAATACCAAGCAAATAATTAAGAATTAAAGAAAAATAAATTGTTGTAGAATTAACATATTTTCGCGTTTGCGCACTTCGTGTTCTACCATTTTGAACTAAAGTTTGTATAGAGCTCGCACAGAGATATCACCATACTCTAAAGTACTGGTTGACAAACTAACATATACAAACGATTTATTATTTTATCAATTTTTAATTCTGATTTTGGTATAAAAAATTAGATGTATAATTTTAAACATCAAAATTATTTGAATTGATAAGTTCGCAACCCTTAATAATACTAATAAAATTGCCTAATTATTTGGGGACTATTATTATGAATTTAATAAACTAGAGTGTAAATAATTCTCATAAAATGTTTCGAACCTTATGGGCAACACTGCTACCATATAATAACGGTATTGCCATAATCAAAACAGTAGCTATTAACTAAAATTTTGTTTCAAGCACAACTATAAAGAAATGGTTGTTGACCTTTTTGGTTTTTCGTTTGCATTTGCAACAAATACGTTCCATTTTGTAGGCTGTTTTTTGTACTTTTTGCTCAATCATATATTTAAATGGTTCAGTTATGGCACCCTTCACTGTTAACAAGCAAATGAACCTCAATGAATGAATGCATAAATATATGTCAAAGTTACGTAATGAACAATGAATTAGCACACTTCAACCCCTGCTAACAGCAACCATGTTCACGCACATCCGTAGTACTTAGTCAATCAGTCAACCTTTAAAACAAGTAGTAAAATAACTAACATTAGACGAAGTCAGTGCAATAAGGAGTAGGCTTGGTAAAAGCAATGCTAGTTGTGCTAGTGCTAGTATTTACTAGTCAGTGAGCAATATCCAAGCAATGCAGTTGTTATTGTGGTGTTTAAGTAAATACATATAAAAGTATAGTGCACTACTTGCTAATCGCCGGTTAAACTCTACAGTGCTATTTATTATAAACATAAAATAAAAGTATGAAACATGAGTAACTCAAAAAATCTTAATACTTAAGAAATATAGATCTGCTTATATATGTCGTGTATGTTGACTCGTGTGTTTGTGTGTGTTTTATACAAACGTGTGTGTATAAGAAATATTTGAAAATATGTCAGTATAAAATGGTTTTTTCCTAATTCAAATAATACAACAAAGGAATATTAGTGTTAGTGAAGTAGTAACACAAATGTGATTTGAAAAAAAAAATAATTATACGACAGCAAGGAAGAGAGCAGTAACAGCATTAAAAAGGGACCAAATGCACAATGCTTAGCCTAAAAAATCTAAATATATACAGCTGTATACACACGGATAAACCGGCGCACGCGCTTTTTCTACGCTTTTGCAGGCAATCTAGATAAAAAGTGAATAGGAAATTGTCACGTAAAAAACGAAGCTGCCATGTCTAAACTGAATAATGTTATATTATATATATATATATATATATATATATATTAATGTAAATGTTTAGAATGTATCATTATTTGGCCTAAATTGGATTTGAATTTTTAAATTTTACTAACGCTTTTCCTGTATAAGACAATACTCAAGTTATGTATTTCGTCATTTCTGTTTCTGAAATTTTATTGAAAACAATTTAAACGGTTGATATCACATTTGATACAATATAACATACACCAACAAATTGCATTCATCTTTCCTCAAATATCGAATATCTCTGTGAATTTTCATAGTAGATGTCTGAAACTTGTTGGTTGTATTGTTATCATAAATTACACAGCTTTAAAAAATTTTTTTTGTGGTTTTCAAGAGTCTAAATTGCGTATTTATTCATCAAAGGGTTGAATGTGCTCTTGTTGTTATGATTATTGCATCTTTTATATTTTAATCAATTATCGGCTTGTTAGAAATTGAATTTATTTTTTCAATCATTATTAGTTTGAATTTCTCCGCACCTTTTTTGCGCACACAAACAGCCATTTATTCCCACTCTCAGGCTCTTTACCTCTTTTTACTATTTAGACATAAAGTCTATAAAATGTTCTTTTATACTCAATGAATATCTCGCATTCGTTTAAAAAGTAATTCGGATGCTCTCAGAAACAACGATGTCGCCAATTTCCCAGAAATCGGTGTAGTATGCCAGTGGAAGTGCATTATATCTAGGATACAAAATAGATATTCATGAATAAATAAACACTTTAAGATATACAAAATTCGCGATACCTTTTAAATAAACCTCGTAACCTCATACAAAGATTTTTGAACTTCCGGTTGACTTATTATCGCATATATCGGTAAATATGTAGTTACCTTAATGAAATTTAAATAACGTCTCTTTCTTATAACAGTGTATCCTTCAGCCTAAAATGTTTAAAATCGGGTGAATAAGTCTCCTAGTTCCCATATACTGGATTTGCATTTTTCCAGTTGCTATGTTACCGTATATGTCGGTCAATATCTTAACAAAATAAAGTAAATACATAAAGGGTGATTCATTTCAGAGTTTCCTACTTTTTTAAAAGAAAAAGCACAGAAAGTTCAAATTTAGTGAGGAATTTTTAGTATCATTTGAAGGAACATTCTTTGGCATTGATTTTTTGAAGATTATCTTTTTTAAATGTTGGCCGCGGTTACGTTTCAGATGGCTCATCCGTTGAGTCTAATTCTCGATGACTCGTTCCAGCATTTTGACTGGTAACGGGCGAATGACACGCGTGATGTTTTACTCCAAGGCCTGAATCGAAGCGGGGTTGTCCGCATAAACTTTAGACTTTACATATACTGTCTTGGTGACCAATCGACTAACCCAAAACGTGAAATTATCTGCTCACCGAAGTGTTCTCTCAATAAATCCATTGATTGAAGCGATGAAACCAAATGTCGCCGAGATCACGAGCTTAAATTTCAGCATCAAATAGTCGGTTATCATGGCGCGATAACGGTCCCCACTGATGGTTACGTTCTCACCGACATCATTTTTGAAGAAATATGGACCGATGATTCCTCTCTCTTGAATCTCTCCATTGAGCCATAAATGGTCCTCATCGCTGAAAAAAATTTGGCTCGAAAAGGTCGGATCTTCTTGGAACTTTTCAAGAGCCCATAGAGCAAACGATTTCGCTTGGGAAGGTCGATCGGCTTCAGTTCTTGCACAAGCTGATTTTGTACGCTCTCAATTAAGATTTAAGCGAATAGTATGCTCAGTAGGCTGTTGAACAATTTGTAAACGTTGTTCAGGCGAAAGTTTTTCCATGATTAAATACCAAACAATACTTAACAATAATAAGATGACAGTTTGACACGAATCACGTGCGATCTGTCAAAAAAAGGCTATTGAAAAAAATATCGCAACTTGGATCACCCGTTATTATTAAATATATGGTATGTATAGTTTAAGGCGGAAAATATGCCGGTCAGCGTGTGAGATATCTTCATAAAATTGCGTGGAAACATGTTTTCGGGTATACCCATTAGAATTGGTCCCCTTCTTTGAGTCTATGTCGCATGTATCGGTATTAAAACATATAAGAAAAACTGTACAACACTTGGCTGGATATAGGACCAAACCAATTTTTTTCAAAAGCTTGAGTATTTATTATAAAAGTAATTTCCCGTTTTTCGAAGTGAGCATTGCCTTCAAATTTCTCAAATGAGCTTATTTAAATCATCATTATTAACTACTAGCTGACCCGGCATACGTTGTTTTGCCATATACATACGTCAGTTTTAGGAAATATTAAAAAAAAAATATCTTCAGAAAAAACTAACACTTAAATGGAATGTAATTAGTTATAACAGAAAGAGGAATAAAGATGAAATTTATATTAAAATACTATTTTTGATACACATTGAAAATAGTTAATATTTCTACTATTAATTATTTCAGTTAAAAATTAACAAAGCATAAACTCTCAACCCAATGGAGTGTACAATATTTTTGGCCAGTCCGTCTTTAGCGAATAAAAACGAACTGTATGGTTTGCTCACGCGAAAACACGCCACATAAAGTGGTCCGTCAGAAAAGCATGGTGTACCCAAATCAAAGCCACAAACAGACAACGTTTGGCTTTGTGAGCTCAACACTCAAGATTTTTATATCTTGTGTATACATCGGGAAGTTTATTGTCGATAACAGTATTTTGTAGGTTGATAATTGTGTAGAAATCCGTCAGTAATTTTATGCACTAAACAGTTTATAACGGGAAGTGTCTGTCTGAAATCACATGAAAGGAGAAGTAAGTGCCGCTAAACAGTTTGTCGTTGTTTTTTATATCTTAAAATATCCTATCCAATGCCTCAATTTCAGAATGTTTGTGTGCCATAGTGCATTTATACCAAATGATAATTTTATACTGTTTCAGTACTATAGCCATGAGCATCTGGGTTACTTTAATGACAGCTTAAATGTTGAATGAGTTGTTCTGCTTCCATCTAATAAAGTAAAGTCTGGCATCGCAGCGCCAGATGATGCAACGGCCATTGCAATGCCATTTATTTATCATATCTCAGCGCGAAGTACCGAAATAAGGAACGGTTTGCCAATTCCACCCCGTTCCATAAAAAAAAAAAACAAAATAGAACAGTACCTGCCAAAACTGCCAGCATAATGCGGTCGTAAATTTTTTTTTTGTTCATTGTTTAGTAGTGGAAGGATTCGACAGTATCTTCTTTGTAAACTGTGTCACTGAATGATATCTTTAGATCATTGCACCTTGTACTCTCGACAATATATAATCAGTCATCGAATCTTTGTGATCGGGCCTGGAAACATACCATCGGTACTACAAGTATATCAAATAGTAGATGAATTTGTGTTTTTGTGAAGTATAATGCTGAAGCAAGTATACTGCCCCGAATGATTGTCATCTTCTAGTAAGCAAGGCATCCATCTTTATACGTTGAGGTTTGCTGTTCATTTACTTTACGTATATCTTCAAATGGCAATGGTCTGGCGAAATTAACCAATAACAGTCGCAGATAAAAGCACTCAGTCTGCCCTGTTTGTGGATCATCCATCTTTTCGATTGAGCCGATGTAAAATGCACGAATGTTTGTACAAAGGCAACAAAAACATTCGCACGATTACACAATTCAAAAAATTCGGTGAACTTAGTTTATGGTGTATTTAAAGCACGATCAAGCGCTGTTTCGTTAGAGAAAAATACGGCCATCTCCGAGATGCACAAAGAAATAATGTTAAAATCACATATAATAAAATAGACTACATGGGAGTAAAATAAGTCGAATTTCTTTCATACCTACTCATTGATGTTTGCTGGTTGAGAAGTGACAACGGGAGACACCTGGCAGGGATAATTGATTAGTTGATAAAACTATACATAAAAATTGAAGTATGCTACAGTTATTATATTCGATTCCCATTTTGTGTGAAGTGGGAAAATTTGGAATTACATGTATTTTTCAATGGCAAATCGTGAAAAAATAAAAACAAAACATTTCCAAAATAAATTTAAAAAAAAGTAATTTTTGGTCTTGAAAAAATTTGCCAATACCAAAAAATCTCTGTTTTCCCCAGTTACATCTTTTTCTCCTAATATCAATAGGGTATCATACCTCATAATAAACGCAATGCATTTTGTAGCTACTAATGCATTTAAAGGTAAAACGATAGATAGTGGCATCAACGAAAATCATTTCACCTTTACTGGCAGACGTTTCACTTTGCTATCAACTGGATTTGGCCGCCCACTTTTAATCGCTTTGTCTCTCTGCTCTTTACACTGCTGCGCATAATGCTCATTTTTATTACACTTAAAACAAATAACATTACTCAACCCAGATTCCGGACCGCACCTTGCTATACGACCTTCCTTAATACTTCTTTTTAATCAACCCTTTACTTTCTGCCGCAATCTGTCCCACGTATTCTTTGTTTACAACTGTTTGTACACCCCTAACTTTCTCGAATATCCGAATTTGTTCCTTTAACTCGCATACCGTTTTCGCTTGATACAACATTACCTTGTTTGATTAAGCGTCTGTTATACCAT